CTCTTTTCATGCATATGCATTTCAGTAAATTTGAGTAATACCTGCACGGTACTATGTCTGTAAATTTGCGTAAACAAACGTAGTTCTGCAGACATTGCTCGAAGCTTATTTATTTAGCCCATCTGAGCATTACTATTTGAACGTCGAGGCCTGGCGAATGCAATTTGTCCATGGTTTTCACGATTGTTAACTTCTCCCAACCAAGAACTTCCTCGCCGTCGTGACTCCGTAGGGAGCATAGGGGGCTGAAATAATGTCCCGATTCAATTCTGAGAATGAGGCTTTAACTTCAGATTACCTGTGCTATGGGACAAACTTGACATCTTTGGGATCAACCATTCTTTCATGGAACAAAAAAATTGCCCATAAGCGCAATAAATGGGGAGCCATTGCTACAGCAGCATGAATTAAGGCGGGGTGACCGGTTCCAAAAGAAATGTCAAGCAACTCTATTCTTTTATAACTTAGAGGGGAATGGAAGTCAAATTTTCTAGGCGACTAATAATTTAATTTTCTGTCAATAGGTTAATATCTAGCGCAGGAAACATGGGACTAAGCTCTCAACTCTCGGAATCAGCAAAACTAATTAGGGATTTGTAGATCAGGGTGCTCTCGAAACTGCGCCGAATCGCCCTGCATGTGGGTGTATATTCCACACTCATGATACAGACACTGACGCGGCGTTGACGTCCATACTATGAACGCAACCCCGCCGTTTCGCGAGTAGGAACTAACTTTTTTGTTTGTACTCGCGAAAATATTTGGCGTAATATTGTGACTCTTTATCTGATTGATATGTCTGTTATATACATTTAGGCCTAGGCACTTGTTTGATTTTCTCATTCAATGAATATAAAATGGCAGAAATTTTCAAATTCGAGGCTCCGCGCTGTCTTTGCGGTGGACTGAGAGAGGAGGTCTCGCATACCGTTTCTGATTAGTCCAATCAGATTGGTCGTTCCCTCTGTAAATAATCTTTTTCGTTTTATAAGCCGTAGTCTTGGATTTTTCACAGTAACTAAAATCCAGTATGGGACCACGACTCCTACAGTACGTGATCTCGCGTGGAACAAAATGCATTGGTTGCAGAATTTCATGCCGATAGCTATAAATTCTACGGTTTTGGAACTTAAAACACCTTGGGCAAGGACACGGGTGGATTGGGTTGTTAGGCAGGGGGAGGGGGTGTGCTGCTCTAAAAAATGCAAAGCTTGAGCGCATTCCGATCCCTATTGAAACAGTCACTCAGCAGCCATGTCAAATTTTTCCTCTTGAATTTTTCTCATGAGTTGCAGAAGAAAAGTTCTTGTTTTCCTTTCAGGTAATCCTATGAATGAAGATATTCCTCGATGGCTGATTTGTGGTGCTGGAGCAGGTTTGGCAGTAGATCTAGGGCTTTATCCCTTGGACACCATAAAGACGCGTTTGCAAAGCAAACAAGGCTTTATAGCAGCTGGGGGTTTTCGGAATATTTACAGGTATTCCTTCCAGAAGTGCTCCTTACTTCATAGACCATATTATTGCCTTGCCTTATTCAGCGGTATGGGTTCAGTCGCTATAGGTTCAGCGCCGGGAGCGGCACTATTTTTCCTTAGCTACAGAACAATAAACGGATGCTTCGAAAACGAAAGTAGGTTCCTTCTGTCAGGAAAGCTCAATACTTCTATCACGTTTTTAAAACCGTTAATCTAGTTCAGCATCTCTCGTTCACGCGTTTTCTGCTAGTTTGGCTGAGACGATAGCTTGTGCGGTTCGTGTTCCAACGGAGCTTGTCAAACAACGGCTTCAGGTAATTTGCCGCAAAATTCTTTTTTGTTTCCCATCACTGCCTCAAGTGTTCAGGCATCGATCCCCAAACCAGCTCTAACGCAAGTCTGCCGAGAACTGTACCAGTCAAATCGTCTCTTGGGATTCTATAGAGGTTACTTGAGTACAGTGACAAGAGAGATTCCATTCGCTGTCATAGAGTTTCCTCTGTATGAGTTCCTGAAAAAGACTGTCACTTCGAAACAGGTTTGTTTGTTATGATATTAATTTATTTATAGCTCTGATAGGGAGAGAAACAGGGATATGGGGGAACAGGATGAGTACAGGCTAAACGGGAGGTCGTGAGCTTTGTGTAGTGTTTTTAAGAGCTTAGATCTGCTGCAGTTGAAGTTCGTAACTTGAACCAAGCGATGTTGGATCCAGGGCTTGCTGATTTACTGTTGTGGAAGCTTACAAAGTGGTAACTATAGGTGATTTTTTCAATATCTGTAGGAGTGCTGTCACAAACTAGCGTTATCCGCTTTTTTTAGTATCGCTAAGAACATATTAGCATATTTTAATTTTGTATTGTCACAATCCTCACTCGAGATCTTAAACATGCTGAGAAGGTATGTATTAACAGTAAAATTAATACCACCAGTTCTAACTGCTGAATTCTACCACAGTTCATGATATATTCAGTTGAATGTCGCCCTTAGGCTTTTTTCTCGTCTCAAAAACAATTTTTGCTTTTCTACGAACTATGCTTCAACTTCTTCAGGGTTGCGACTGTACGCCTATTGAAGGTGCTGCCTGCGGAAGTGTAGCAGGAGCTTTCGCTGCAGCACTGACAACACCTCTTGATGTAGCGAAGACACAAATAATGCTATCGAAATCGAGGGAAACACCAACTATACTTATGACTCTTAATGAGGTGAGCTATCTACCCTTTTTAAGGTCTTTACGATCTTTGGAAATCACGAGACGTCTCAGATCTATACCACGCGTGGCTTCGCAGCACTATTTTCGGGGATCGTACCACGTGTTCTCTGGATGACAGCAGGCGGTTTTGTGTTCTTTGGAGCCTATGAATCTGTGCTAGCAGTATCCTATTGGGTATGCCCTGATAAGAAAAAGTTGAAGTGAAGTCCACTTTATACCATTGTTATTTTTCTTTGTTATGACCTAGTTGTTATTTTGTTGATTTTTAACCTTTTCTCTGAAAATTTCAACTAACACCATTATCATACCTAATCACTGCTTAATTTCATTAGTTTATTCAAGTTTGTTTGAATTATTTTGCTTTGTGGATAATTCAAACCTCTCGCTTGTTGAAGCCTTTTTGTTGTTTTTTTTTTCAATGCAGCGCTTAGTGGCCTAGTCAAAATCTGACTTTTTGTTGATATTGTTTTTTCTAAGCTCAGGATCCAGCGCACCATGAAACTTTATAGTTTTGCTACAATTGTAAAGACATTCTATGGTTCTATTCAACGCGAACTCTAGGTGATTAGAAAGGCTTTTGTGATGGCCGTTCTTTCCTAGCTGATGGCCATGCTCTAGTTAAGACCTTGATTGTAGGAAGGTAAAATTGCATCCCAAGCCATGTTAGGAATGAAACTGAAGCTTTACTGATTCGATTTTTAATGATGCTCATTCTTCGTGCCAATTTATTGAATCTGTATGAGTGAGATGGATTCAGTCATGTAAAGTAAATGTCGAACAATTATCAGGTTTATTTTTATAATAGTAATAACTCATTAATATTGTTTCCATTGTTCGAATCTCAAAAGTAATTTTGAATGGTGAGCGTTGAAAGGCAGACATCAAATGCTGAGCAATTGATATGGTTAAAGAAATAAGGATCATGCCTAATTGCTTCGTTTCTTTGATATTTGCACCCGTCCTTCAGTCAAATCGGAGTAAGAAGCATGAATCTGCCTGGTGTCCCAAGGTAATGTTGATTTGAACGAAACTACAGTATCCGTAATGCAGTCCATTTTTGCTGGGAATTTTCCGTATTCGATATTCTCCACGTGCACCTCCTCACCTTGTTTGTATCTAAAATAAAAGGAATACTATGCACAGGAGACGAATTTTATATTTAAGGATTGAGAGGAGATTAACTAACGTTTTTCCATCATAAGTGAGTTTCTGCTTGATAAGGATCACTTCGAAAAGTCGTTGGTTCTGAAAACATACACCACGAGTTTCAAAGTATCAAGCAAGAAACTTCCATTCTTGTTTTCTTTACTATTTTCTAGTACACAATCATTAATTACACCCTTCGTTGATACTATTTGCTTGTTGGCTGTTAGCTTTTCAGTGAATACATAGCAAGAGCAATGACAATTGCAACATAAAAAAAGTAATTGGATTTCCAATGAGAAGCCGTTTATGTTTGTTTATTTGTTCTGAACAATAAATATTATAAAATATATTTTAAGGATATAAAATTCCTTGGAAAAGTCGGTGAGCGGAAACCGGGTGTGGTGCGATTCACGCGCCAATATAATGAGGTCAT